GGTACCAGAGGGGGTGGTACGTTGGGACATTACATTCAAAATGCAATAAATGCCATAGTGAGGAAGCCAGTTTCTTTTCAAAGCTCTTGTAAGTAATCCTGGTAACTCAGTTCTATGTTGCTAACACGTGCTCATTTTATCTATGAAAGAAAGAGCAGGTCTCAGAATCACAGATTTTAAAGACAATATTTAGCAAAGTTGTAAGCCTATGTTTATTTTTCATTGTAATTATTTTCGTAATTTCTAGTTATGGCAAATGATGCTGTTTCCATGCTAGTAGCCATGGAGAGTTTTATTTTGAAAATAAGTGTATGTGGATTTTAAGTAAGCCTATTTAAAGAAACTATTATTATAAAAAATAGTTCAGTGGCATATACATGTGGTAAAAATCATGAAGATGTTATACGAAATGCAGACTTTGGGGGCACAGATCTGGAGATTCTAGACCGAAACTCACATGATACAATTGAAGAAATGGACACCTAGAGAGATGCAGTTAAGTGTCCTGGACCTACAAGTTTCCTGAATTGCTGAAACATGATCATCTACCTCTTGAAACATGCCATGATCTTCCCACCAGCAGGTCAATTTCCATTGTTGTTCTTGTTTTTCCTGGTGGGGCATCAGATATCTCTGACTAGTAAATACAAATTAGAACTAAAGAAATTAGAAATTTTGTTTCCTTCCAGAGCAGCCATTGTTTTTATGAAAATACCTTAGATTATTTAGATATTTCCATGCATAGCTGTCAGCAAATTCAAGTATAAAGTGTAGGTGTTACAATAAAAAGGCCATTTGTTTGTGGGAGAGCAGGTAGACTCTAAAAAATTTAACAAATTAAAGTTTTCCAACATTACTTCTTGAAAGCATAACTATCAGAACAATCTTTTTAATTTGTGATTCATCACTTACATACATATAACACCTAGTGCTCATCATAACAAGTGCCCTCCTTAACACCCATCACCCATTTATCCCATCCCCCACTCACCTCCCTCCATCAACCCTCAGTTTGTCAGAACAATCTTTTTAAAGGGTTTTGATGTAACTCACCAAGTATGTATCTGACAATTTATTGCTTTTAGTAGCTAGAGGTGATAATGTGGACTCTTTCTGACATAACATGCCTGTATTTTCATTCAGCTACGGGAGACCCACAAGATACCCCAGTGTTCTGCTCTATTGTAAAGGACATGGTGTTATTTATTAACAGATGTACTTCCTGTGGCTGCTATTCAGGGCTGTCAGATGTACCACCTTCTGGTGTATATGTGTCCAACACTGAATTTCATAAAACAAAATTTATTTTTTGTTAGTACTAGGTTCCCCCAGTACAGTGCTTCTGGAAAATGAATGGTTTTAATCTGTTATTTATTTTTATTTGATCTGCAGAGATGCCACAAAAATTCACCAGCCCACCAACATCAGCAGTAGCATGGTTAGGAAAAGAATGGGGCAATCCTGGGCAAGGTAAGCATCTATCATTAGCCTTTTGTTCTGCTTTCACAATCTACTTCCATAGAGGCAACTACTACCTTTGGGCATCTGATTCCCAAGCCCTTTCAGGCCCTTCTCCCATTTTGCCCCTTCGCCCCATGAGGTGATGATGTACAGCGAGAGGCACGATCGTGCATGAGCTCCACAGCCAGTTTACCTACGTTTGAAACCTGGCTCTACCACCTTCCTGATTCATCTATTTCTTTACCACTCTGTGCCTTAGTTTCCTTATCTGCAATGGGAGGATGCTATCTACCCCCTATGGTAGCTGTAAGCAACGTGATATGTGTAGAGCACCAAAACCAGTGTCTTGCATTGGTGCTTTACACGTAGGAAGTTTTCAATATGTTACTTATGTTTCAACCACATGCTAGATATTCTCTTGGATGCCAACTCTGCCCATGCATTCAGCTTACATTTATTGAGCACTTATTACGTGCCAGGCACTGTTCAAGATACTTTAGACACATAATGAACAAAACCAAAAAATATCCCTGCCTTGTGCAGATTTTTCAGGTAGAGGCATATAGACAATAGTCGATAAATAGAAGTAAACTGTATTAGAGTGTAACTGCTGTGAGGAAAAAAAATGGAGTTGGTAAGGGAATTGGGAGGGTAGGCAAGGGTGAAATTTAATATATATGTTCAATACAGTATTTCTAAAATAAAACTCACTTTTCCAGTAAAACTAGATTTTTTTTTTTTTAAGTCAGCTCCATACCCAGCCCAATGTGGGGCTTGAACTCATGATCTTGGGATCCAGACCTGAGCTAAAATCAAGAGTTGGACACTTAACCGAGCTACTCAGGTGCCCCTAGATTCCCTTTTTGATTCCCAATTACTGATAATCTTTGGTACCCAGGTTAAGAACTCAGTCACACTATTTTCTTCTCTATTTTCCCCATAACTTGCCATTAAATCCTGTGTATTTTTCTTTTGTAATGTCTCTCGAATCTACCCTGACTTGAGCACTTGGGTTTGGGTTACTGTGGTGGCCTCCGAGTCTCTGCTTCTAGTTTCTCTCTGCTCCAGTCCATCCTGCACTTAATTCACTTGCAAAGCATGGCCCAGAATAGAGCTTAACCGTGTCTCTTCCTTTCTTTGGTATCTATGGAATAAAAGTCAAACTTGTTCAGGGATGTTCATAATCTGGCCTCAGCCTGCCTTTCCAAGCCCTCTGCTACTCTTCCTTAAATAGAACTTTCCATTTCAGCCAAAATAATCTACTGTGATTTCCTTCCTGCACCTACACAGTGCATTGGTTTCTTTTCTAACACTGTATTGTTAGTTTTCTCCTTCTCTTTATAGAAGTGTTAGAAATTTCATTAAAATTCCCTATAAAATTTACAAAATTCCATACAGTGAGACATCCTCATGAGGGAAACCATGTAGACCTGATCTCAACAAGGTGGAGGTGCTGACTGAAGGACTCACGGCTTTCTGGAGAATCCAAAACAACTAATATGGGTTTATTTGATACTACCAAGCCAAATCAAGACAGAATAGCGACTAATTAGTTCACCGCCAAAAATGTGCAAACAAGATTTACTTTTTCTAGACTGCCTGCCTTCTTCTCAGCCCTCACTTGCAAATCCTTTCTCCCCTTTGTTTCTTAATTCTGTCAAGGATTCCCTCTTGTGACAATAATTTATGTAAAAATAACTGAAGGCCCAGTTTTTAAAATAGGCCCAGAAACAATTTTGTTTACATTTACAAATGTTTTATTGACTCATGATTAAAGTTGTTGGAAAAATAAATCCATTTTGTTTTTATATTAAAGAATCCAACTGTTCATTTTATGGAATTTATGTATAAGTACTCTTGCCATTGGTGAGTAGCAAAGCACTTTTATATTAATCCATTTCCTTCTGTGACATCCTAATCCACAGCAGTCTACCATTTTTCCAGTGATACAATTCACTTCTGACTCAAGTCACTTGCATATAAATGATTCAACCAATTTCTATTACTTTATATGGATTTCAATGCTAGTGAGATACACATTTCTGCCACGTAAGATGGAGATTTTCTCAAAGATTTCTACTAATTTAAATGGTAACCTTCAATGGGTCAGTCTCTAGAACCACAGGTCCATGTACCTCAAAACTAAGAAATACATTATTTCAGAATGATCACCAACCAAAGTCAGATTTCTGGCTTCCCAAGTATCTGCCTGATCTCTGGGTTATTCTCAGCTCAGTTCTGAGGACTGAACACAGAACCTCTTTATCAATGAGGAGTTAAGGCAGCCCATCAAGTTCTTTAAAAACAAAAAAAATTCCAGCCTATTTCATCTTCCCAAATTATGTAGTCTACAGGGGTTACTCAGCCAAGTGTTAACTATAATGTTTTGTCTATAAGCACTTTGTATTTATTCTTATATATTAGTTTGCTATAGTGGCTATAACGAAGTACCACAGACTGGTTGGCTTAATCAAATCAACAGATTTATTTTCTCACAGTTCTGGAGATCAGAAGTCCAAGATCAAGGTTTTTGGAGGTTTGTTTTCTTCTGAGCCCTCTTTCCTTGGCTTGCAGATGGCTGCCCTCGGCTCCTTCAGTCTTTCCTCCATGCTTGTGCATCCTTCAGGTCTGCGTGTCCTTATTTCCTCTTATACAGATAGCAGTCAGTTTGGATTAGGACTCACCCTAAAGGATTCATTTTAATTTAATCACCTTTTTAAAAAGGCTGTCCAAATATAGTCACATTCCAAAGTACTGGAGTTAGGGCTTCAACATATGGATTTTGGGAAAAGAGAATCAGCCCCTTAAAAGTTTCCTAACAAAAGAGAGCCAAACTGGATGCCTGGGTGGCTCAGTTGGTTAAGCGTCTGCCTTTGGCTCAGGTCATGATCCTGGGGTCCTGGCACTAAAGGACAAATACTGTATGATTCTACTTATATGAGGTACCTAGAATAGTAAAGTTCATAGAAACAGGAGGAAAATGTTTACCTAGAAAAATGGGCTGAAGGAAGAGAGAGTGGGGAGTCACTGTTTATTGGATGATGAAAAGTTCTGGAGAGTAGTGATGGCAGGACAAGTGTGACTGTTCTTACGGTTACTGATCTGTACAACTTAAAAACGGTTAAAATGGTAAATTTTATGTTGTGTATACTTTACAATAAAAAATGTGGCTAGTGTGAGGAACTGAATTTTTAAGTTTAATTAATTTAAATATGTTTAAAAACCAGTATTTGATTCAGTTATTAGAAAACGTTTAAATATGCTTGAAACGTGTATGAAATTTTGTAATCTCCCACTATGTAATCTCTTGCTTGAAGTAAAGAAAAATACAATCTCACACATATTTGAAATGCCAACTTTGTTTTCAAGCCTCGGGCAACGTTAATACAGCTATCTCCTTTCACTACCAGGAGAAAACTATCACATTTTACACCTAAGCCTAATTTTACATTGTGAATTATACAGCCTCTAAATAACCTTCATTCTAGATACGTGCAGAAACACAAGTTGTGTTCACAAAGCATATATTAAATCAATAGTACATGTCAATACCACCAATGGTTTTATTTTTTGTCACTGACAACATGCATAATACTGCCAATTGTATCATTACAATTTTTGATTTTGTTAAACAGTACTGAAGTATGCATTAAAAATATATGTTTACATTTAAATTTAACACTTAAAGAAGTTCTCTTTAAGGCGTTAAACATAACGCCTTCTCAATATATTTTCCTGCTTTGTATCATACATAAATAACTTAATCTAAAAATCATAAATAGAACTATTAACTCTTGTGGCCTAAGAGTATATACCAACTTTGGAGCTTGACAAAAATGTTGTCTTTATGATTTTATGGGTAACAACATGCAGGACTTGCAGTGTTTACTATCAAATAAATGACTTATCACAAGTCGTTATTGTCTCCCAACTGAGTCTGCCAATAATACACCTTCCAGTGCCCTTGGTAAAGATGCTAGGCGCTTACAAAGTCAAAATAATCAAGACTAGATTTTACAACAGAAGGTTGTCACTTAATTACTAAGCCTTACTTTGAAGAACAAAAATGCTGCTAAAGAGTAAATACTTGTATTATCATTTAAATGAAAGCTAATAAAATCTAAAATAAAATCAGATTAAAATCCTATCACTCTTGGGAAAAATATTCCTTTGAGATTTTGCTACAGGAACGGAATTAACACTATCCTACATTTTCTAAAATTTATTTTGAACCATCACTTTGATTAGTTAAAACTTTCAGGGAAAAAATAATGACACACAACGTGACCTTGGAAAGGAATACTTATAATTCCTGATACAGAACACTTGATTATTTAGTTTTTGTTTAATGACTGGAAATCTTTAGTCCTTCAGAAAACACCGTATTTGTTGATAAATACTTCCTATTTAGTGATTTATTAGGTAACCACTCAAGATATATTAGGTAACCACTCAAAACTATTTCTACATAATAAAATTAAAGAATTTTGCATATTGGAAGTGTTTCATTATGCATTATTTTTAGGCCATCATTTATAGAGTATAAAACTTAGAAAGATAAATATTGTCAATAGTTTCATTAAATTTAAATGATTAAATTTAAATGATTCAAATGACAATACTCAGCACTGTCACTACTTTTAAAATCTAAGTTTCTAAGTTTTATTTTTCGATCAATACAAAAATGATCTGGTTCATACTGTTAACTGCCAGAAAAACTTTCATGTTTAAAAAACTAAATACTCTTTGTTAAAGAAGAGCAGGTTAAAACAAATGATTTCTGTGCTCTTATAAAAAAGATTCTGATATATGTTGTAATTCTAAATCAAAATTCACAAATGGTGGCTGAAATTCTGTCAACTTTTAGCCCAATACAACACAAATCCATGGTTATTTTGCATAAGCAATTCAAAATTAAATTTTATAATGGAAATGTCAACAAGTCATAACTACTACATTACTTCTGATGGGTTCCACTATACTTCAACCAGGCACAGCAGATGTGCACATCTGATAGACTGCTTAGAAAATTAAAGCTATCATGATGAGCTATAAATAAGGAATACATAAATATGAACACAGCAATGCCAATGCATTAGAGCTGTTAAAAAAAAGATGTGATGTAAACACATCTGATCTCTCTGTAAGCCATTTTCCACTGATTTATAAAGCTATGGTTTTATAATTCTTTTAAAAAGGAAAATGTTTCTACACTGCTGCATGCAGTAATTTCATTGTACATTCTTGACTACAATGCAATCTTCAAATCCTCTTGAAGAGCTTGACATATCTCATCAGAATTTCTCCAGAAAGTCAGCTTGTCGTATTTTCAGCAGCCTAGAACAAGAAAGTAAGTTTCATTATAATAAAACCACGAAAAAAGAGACACCATGGAGATATATTTGTCAATACTGCATTGTCACTAACAAACAATTCCTCCTCCACATATCCTGAGCCACTTTTATCAGGATAATGCAGTGGGGTTTTTACTTTTTGCAGTACATTAGAACTACTTCTTGAACTGACTGCAGGCTAACAGTGGAAAAGTGTTCTCTCATCTTAAATAATACAGTTTATGTAAAAATATACTGCTACTTGAAAAACTGACCCAAGCAGACCTTATCCACATACTGTATCCACCTTATCCAGACTTTATTGGTTTGTCTGTTTCTGCATGTTTCATTATAGTGTGAAAAGGGGATTATGAATGAAAAAGACCTTTCTGTTAGAAAGCAGAGGAAAAAAGGGCAAAAGGGAATAATGAACACATGGCTAATCCTGCTTCATCTATACCACCAACTATTATACTTCCCCTGATTATTCTGCAGAAATTTCCAGCCACCATGTAAGTCATCAGTAAATGATTTTGAGACATTTCTTTTTCCTTTTTAAAGATTTATTTATTTATTTTAGAGAGAAAGAGAGCGAGTGCGCACACATGCGCTCAGGGAGGGGCAGAGGGAGAGAATCAGGCTCCTTGCTTAGCTTGGTTAGCTTAGTGCGGAGCCAAATGGAGGTTTGACCTCACAACACTGAGATCATGACCTGAGCTGAAATCAAGAGTCAGATGCTTAACTGACTGAGCCACCCAGGTGCCCCTTGATACATATTTCTAAAAGATAAGGATTTAAACAAGTAATTTCTTAATGCCAAATATGAATATGATGATTTTAACTAAGTTTAATTTTAGAAACACACAGTAAACTTTTCATTCATTTACGTTTCAACTTCTTAATTAAAACTTGCTTTTAAGTTTAGTCTAAGTTCAGAGGCCTTTCACGAAAATCCCTTAACATGCTAGGAAAATTGTAGTTAACTCAATCTGAAACATTCTCTTTGCAATCAGCAGAACCTACCTTGTTTGTCCATATAGTTGGCTATTCTAATTAGCCTTTCATTTCTTTGGGTTTATTACCCACAAGGATTAGAAACTAGTTTGAAAAAATCTCCCTTGTTCTAAAAAGTTTCTTATTTCTACCCTTAAAGGTTCTTACATTAGCTTTAGCTGCATACCTTTAGGCACTCTGTCTTCTTCCTAACCCCTTTCTCAGTATCATTTACTTCAAGGAAGAATTGAAATAATATAAACAATTTTAGAATTTTTAAAAAACTAAAGTACCTTAACTCTAATGCAATGTCTAGTCCCATTCCATTTTTATACTAATTTTTGAGGTTCTCCTCCAAGAAACAGACAATGGAACAAGTTTTTTCACCTAAATTAAGCAAGCCATCAATCTTGTATAGCATTCCTGTTGTATGAATATAGTACTACTCTGTTTGAAAGGACAGCAATGGCATCCTAAAGAGCTCCAGTTACCAGACTGCCGTTAGAGACTCCAAAATTTCATAAGCATTGGCCCTGGGAAAAACCAGCTTTAGCAGCCTTGTCTCCCACACTTTGGTGTAAGTTTATTCCCTCCTTCGGGAGGATGGGTGGGGACATAAGACTTATTGAATCCCTTATTTCTCTCCCAACTCCACATTCTACAGCTCCAATGTCCTCATGCCATACAAAACCTTCCTACAGTGAGGAGACACATCACTCCTCCTAAGGTATTAGTGATCACACAGGACAGCTGCAAGAGAAAGGGCAAGGCTTATTAGTGCGAAGTGCATCAATAATAGTCCAATTCGAGGCACCTTGGTACTAAAGTAGAAGATACAGGAAGTAGGTTTTGCCCAGAATTTCTGAAATCGCCATATGTAAATGACTGCTTATAATTAGCCCTGAGGAGGCAATACTAAAGTTCAGTGCTTGTAGAATCATTCATAAAGTCTATTTTACTTGTAAATGCATTCATTAAAAGGTATGGAAATTGGAAAAAAAAAAAAAAGCCTATTTTTTAAAAACTGTACCTTAATTAACAGTCCCACTTACGCTGTGGGAGATACATACAACGCAACACATCTACTGATGCAAAGAAACTGACCTGTGTGACACACAACCAACTACTTTTACTGTAAATGATTTAAACAATATACAAATCTGTGAGAAAGTAAAAACAATTAATGAAAAATTGTTGCAATTGTCTACATAGTTAACTAAAGAACAAAAGGAAAAACTGGATGTTTATAGACCAACAGCTCCTTGCAACATTTCAGGATGGCCTTGATTTATATTTTACACATTCTAAAATAAAGGTAAGTACCATATAAGGAAATTCTAATCACTAGGATTTCTAGGTAAAGGCAGTAGAACATAACAGGAACAGCAACAGGTAAGAGAATAACTAATTTAATAGTAACTAATAAACCAACCCAACAGCAGCAGGTAAGAGAATAAGTAGACTTTATAATCTAAAGAGAAGCAACCTGTGAAAGGTTATTCTTTAATCCATAAAGTTAAATGTAATATTTTTATTTTTAAAGTGGCATGCTACTATCTAGAATGGTGTTCACCAAATATTGCTGATTATCTCTTGGGTGGTTCTGAATGATTTGTTTCCTTCTTTGTATTTTGATATTTAAATATTTTTAAATTATGAGCATTTAATAAAAATTACATAGAGATTTCAAAAATTCCTTTAAAGAAAAAAGTTCTAATTAACATTTTTCTTCTTTGCTAGACACTTTTCAGGATTCTCTTCTCCGCCTAGTTTTAATGAGAAACTGGCATACTGGTTTTGTTTATGGAGAAATATGTTTTCAGAGGCCGTGTGTGTGTGTCTGTGTGTGTGTGTGTGTGTGACTGATCTTCCATTCAAAGGGCAATGCTTTCTGATTTTGTTTATCTTAAATATTGATTTTACCTCCTATATCTCACAATGGTCCACTATTCTCACTATAGAATAACCAGCATGTTCAAAGCTAAAAAAGCAATTCTATCCTAATACCTTGGGTTTATTTTGCCTAAGGAAGTGCTATGCCAAAACACTTGTCAGTTCCTCTTGTACCCCATGGACTAGGTTATTTGTCTCTGGTTCCTTTATGGCACTCTAACTTCATTACAATATGAAACCTTCATGCTCTTTTGCCTCCCTATTCTGTGTCAAATTCCAACATAAACAACAAAAATTCACGCAGTTGTGGACGATGTTTATTAAGTAAATTCTCTTCCACTAGAATTTCAGAAATTTACTGATCAAAGACTATGATACTGCATTTTATTTTTAACAGCAGGGTTATGAAAGAATACTAAACCAGGGAATGTTCCCATGCTACAGTCCATTAATTCACTTCTAATCACATTTCACCCTTTCTCAAAAAGCAGGCTTAGATATTTTTTAGAACTTACTGTAGGTGAAAACTTAGTAGTTAACAACTCTGAAGCCAGAGTCCAAGTTCAAATCTCAGCTCAACTACTTCTCAGTAAGTCCTTGGGAGAAGCTGGCCACCATAAGCTTCAGTTTCCTTAGCAGTAAACTACTAACATCAGTACCAGTACACATCACTGCTGTGACTCAGAGTGCTCATAAATATTAGTTATTCTTACGATATTATTTAGTTATTTTTCTTTCTGTCATATGAAAGCTCAGTTGTGAGTTTAAAAAGAAACAAGGTTTGAATAGTTTTTTTAAAGATTTAAACATCTGACTAAAAGAAATTAGTAACTTACATGCACATTTAACAAAGGGTTCACATTCAGAATATTTAAGACTACCAATACAAAAGGAAAAACAGACACCCCAGAAAAAAAAAAAGGGCAAACTACTTGAAAAGGTATCTCACAAAAGAAAATGGCCAAAAAAACATGTAAAAACACATTCAACCTCATTGGTACTAGGAGAAATGCAAATAAAACCACATAAGAAACCCATACACACCCACCAAAATGACTAAAATTAAAAACACAAAAATAAGTATTGGCATAGATGTGGAACAAGGAAGGGAAACTCATATGCTGCTCATGGAAACAGAAATACAACTACTTTAGAAAAGTTTGGAATTATCTATATTCAAGTTGAAGATAAACATATCCTAAAAACCAAGCAACCTGACTTGTAGATATACACCACCCAAAAGAAATGCATGCACATATGCATCATGAGACATGCACAACTAGGCTCATAGCAGCATATTCCTAATAGCCCCACACTGGAAGCAATCGAATATCCATTCACAGTAGAAAAGATAACTGAATAGTAGTATATTTGTGCAACAAAGCATGATTATTTCAGTGAAAAGGACTGTATTACAGCTACACACAACATAAACGAACCTCCGGGGTGCCTGGGTTCTGCATGTAGAATCTGCTTGACATTCTCTTTCTCCCTCTTCCTCTGTCCCTCCCCCTGCTCCTGCATGCACTTGCACGCACTCTTACTCTCTTTCAAATAGTCTTTTTTTTTTTTTTTAAAGATTTTATTTATTTATTTGACAGAGAGAGAGAGCAAGAGCAGGAACACAAGCAGGAGGAGTGGGAGAAGGAGAAGCA